TCCCTACCTCTATCTCTCCCTCTCTCTCTCTCTCTCTCTCTCTCTCTCACAAGTGCACATGCCCTCTCACAAATAAAAATATCAAAGAAAGAAAGAAAAAAGAGATGAACACTTGCCAGGTTTGGGACTGGATAAATGTAAAGGTCCCTCAAACTCTAGTTTTATACACACTTAATTTTACTCTGGTCCTACTTGTAGAAGTCAATAAATAAGGCCTAAGTCTCAAAAATAAATGCTTGGGAAAAGTTATAATTACTCACACTATTATTTAAATGGAAATGCTAAAAAATTGTTTATACCCAAAGACTTAAAAATAAGTACAAAGCTTTAAAATGTTATTTAAAAGAAAAATGAAAGATCTTTTATATTTAAAATGCTTAAATAGGAAGACATTTCCCTTTTACCCAAACTCATATCCTCCCTAAATTAAATTATCGTTGCCTTCAAACCAGTTTCCCTAATAATTGGAATCTATGATATTGACTCAAAGGGTTTCGAGGATTTTATAAGTAAGGTAATTTCCTTTCACAGTGAGTTTTAGCTGCTGTCTGGTTATTTTGATAGCAGGATTTTTTAAGCTCTGTAACAGAATACATCAGTAGGTATCAACAACACCGGCTTCAAGTGCCAGCATCTTAAAGGAAGAGGGCAGTAGTCCATTCACATTTCATTCCTTCTGTACCACACGGCAGGATGAACGGACCATCACATGATACGTTTATCGTATTTTAACTTTCAGGCCAGTATAGTACTTGATCTGTTCCCGCCTCAGTTCTTCCCAGTACCCCTGGAGTTCAATAGGCATGTCCTTTGGTTACTGAAAACAGGAAAGATGTGTAACATTCTTACTGTCGCTCTGGGGATTCGTACCCAGTCTTTCATATACTGAATAACACAGATGCCTGGCATCAGAAAGGACCTTGTCCCCTGCGTTACGTATCTCAGCATGGAAACGTACAATGAAAACGAGTAACAACCAACCTGTGCTTTCCTCATGTACACCAAGGGTTCTTTCAGATGCTCAGGGGGGGCCGCAGGGTGACTGGGTAGAGGAGACCTAGAAGCCGAAAGAGGAGGCTAACGTCAAAAATGAGCCTTAGCCATTGATTAACCCTATTGGTTAGAAACTATCTACCTCTGCAGTTCATGTTAAAAAAGAAGAAGAACAGTTATTAGCAGTTCCTTGTGTTTATACAAGGTACGAGGGCCTGATACAAGAAACCTTTCATTTTTTATCCTACTAGTATTAAAGCTTCAGATTAAAATTTGAACTAGTTGTTAAATGTTAAATGACATGATAATCTGAATTCATAAACCGAGGTAATTTTAAAATGATTTAGCTCTGCAAATGCTCCTATGAAAATTGTCAAAACCATTATTTTTATAATGTAAATATTATAACATTAAGAGAAATTACTTAAGGATAAAAACATCCAATAACTTACCAATTTATCAATTCACTTCATTTCTCCCAATTTCTTTGTCCACGAGATTATATACTTTTTTCTTTTATTAAGCCAGAAGGCATGTACACATACACAAGGAAGATGGAGAGGAGGAAAAGCGAGTAAACCAACCCACGATGGGGCCTGGGCACACGACAGCCGTTTTCCTTCCACTCCTCGGTCCTGCCGGGACCCTGGGCACAGGCACGTACACACTGTGTGTGAGCTGCTGGGGTTGGGATTTGAACCTTGGTCAGTCAAGTAGGATCTGGCTTCCTCTGCACAGTATATACCCACTGTGCTATGGGCCTACTCAGATTACACGTGTTTTACATAGTAGATATGATAACATGAGTACTGCTTTCAGTAAAAGCCACATTTTAATATATAAATTCAAAAATTACACAAAATTTAAAAGTTTCTGTGTATTAAGAGCTCTTTTTGTTTTCCAAATAACATTGTATTTTATATTCAAAATATATTGCTTTTATTAAGAAAAAAGATTTATTTAGTCAATAAATATTTGAGCCATTCTAGGTACTAAGTATGCAGAATCAAGACAATATTCCATTTTCATCGACATAACAGTCTAGTAAATAGAGATGGTCAATAATCATGAAAATGAATAAATAAACAGAACAATATCAGCTAGTAATAACTGCCACACGAAAATGAGAGCAGGGTAATGAGAGAGGAGCCATTTGCAGGGAAGGTGTCTCTAAATCTGATACGTGAACTAAGACATGAATGAGAAGGAGCCAATCATGAAAAATATTCAGGAAAAATAATATTATAGACAGAGAATTAGCACGCACAAGACTCTGAGATGGGAATGCCTAGGGAACAGAAAACAGAGCAAGCCAGAAAAAAGGAGTTGGAATGTTCTGACTGAAGGGCAGAGTGGTATGAAATCACAGAAAGAAACGGCAATAGGAAAACGCAGGGGCCCGATATTGGAGATTCAAATCCCCTTCACGATAGCGTATCGCATCTACTGAAGAGTCAGAGGATTTGTACCTACGGCAAAGCAACCATGTTCTAATCATCAAGAACCATGGAATAGATTCTCAAGAATTCCTTGGTCTAAAGTTGAGCAGTAGGTCAAGAGTTAGTAATATTCCGAACCACTTACATCTGTCCCAGAGCCTAAAAGACTCCATTGTCCACAGGAAACAATTCTGGAACAGGAAAGGGCTACTTATCCCATCTAACCTATTAGTTTCACTTGTTGATTCTTGCTGGCAAATCGTATTTTCCACTTAAATGTGCATTTCACGTACTTTGCCATACTCACAAATGAGAGGAAAAAAACTTAATATGTCTCCAAATACCTCAGTATTTCTTGTCTCTACATCATTTGTAAAAAGACCTGTGGTTTATAAATAAATATCATTCTAAAATCTTCCCTTTATAATGGTAATTATGTCTAAATTTAATAAAACTTAGAAATGTAGGATTGAAACTTGAAAGAATTTACTGATAATCATAAGAGTTATTTAACAAGGGACCAGCAGTTAGTATAATGGCTATGTCACTAGACTCCCATGTAGTCGATCGTAGTTCGAGTCCAGGACCTGGAGGCTTAAACTCACGCTGGGCGTGTGTGTGTGTGTGTGTGTGTGCCCAAGATCCTGAGAGGAGAATGGAGAAAGGATTGCAGTGTGGCCATCCCCCCAGAGGGTGATTTCTTGCCTTCTGTTACTCTGTCTCTCTCTGTCTTTCTGGCGAGCACATGCACACTATAGCAAAAAAACCTCTCCAAAAATTAAAAAAAAAAAGTTATTTAATGATATAAAAAAATTTACCCCCAAAATACAGGCAACAAGAGGCAACCCAAACGTTACTCATAATAACAACAAAATGAAGTTAGACATTTATTCAGACTTTCTTAACGAGAACCTAGTAAGTGTTCAGTGTGAAAGAGCTCCAGCGTGAACAGAACAAGCTAAAATCTCTGCTCATTCATCCCCATTCAGTGCGCGAAGAGCCAAGAGCAGTCAGAGAGGAACGCACAGAAACCCACACAGCGCCCTTCGTTCCTGATGCTTCTGTCCCTCCAGTCCCCTAAATACTTCTCAGCCCTGCTACCTCCCAAGAGCACCCTGTTCCAACCACCCACTAGGCCTTGCCTACGTTTATCCAGAGGACTCCTAGGCAGCCTAGTGGTCTCCCCAACCATTCCCAAGCTGCTTGTCAATCTGCCCGGCTGTTACCGGGAGCAATGTCCCCCTCACTCCCCAGTGATTTTATTGCCGCTGGCCAGCACAGTGTCTGGCACACACCCACTGGACAGACAGACGTTGAGGAGTGAGTAGAATGCAGACATGACCATGTTACTGCTTAAAATTCTAAAATGGCACCTCCATGCTTTTAGGACCCAGTGTGCGAAGCTTGGAGTACACACCCCTGCCTGCATGCCATCGTCCCTGGCTGTGCCCCTTCACCCTCTATCATCCAGCCACAACCCTTTTCCTTTCCTTTGGGCCACGTTGTTTTCTACCTCGAAACCTCTCAGCTTGTTGGTCCCTTCTGCTTCAAGTGTTTTTCTTCTCTACTCGCCCTAACTCTAGCTTAAATTTCTGATTCACATTGTCCCCTTTGGAAAGCCCCCACGGGCAAGCCCAAATCTGAACCAAGTCCTTGCCTGACGTGTTCTTTGCTCTTCCCTTACCCCTTCATCACAGCAGTGTTTACGCGGTACTGTCATGACCTCTGAAAGCCCGCACGTCTACCGGGACGTGAGCTCCCTGAAAGCAGAGCATTAGCTCGCGCGTTATCCTTAGCACTGCACTTGGTGCACAGCACACGGTGATGGTACAGCAGCACTTCAACCGAGACGGTGAAGAAGAGTGCGTGATTAGGACGGTTTGAAGGGAGCCGGGGCTCCTGCCTGAGTTCTTGCCCAGGGAAAGCAACGAAGGTCTCTAAAGACTTACTCACACTTGTGGCTTAGTGTAGGATACCTAGCCTCTAAATCCTTCCATGGTAGGCTCCTTGCTGCTCAGCACTCCTACCTCTCTAAGCAAACATTTGCATAGAACTACCATAATAGTACACGACGTGTTTTTATAACATGGACACATACAGTACAATCTTTTTAAAAGGCTCGTTTGCTTCTTTAATTTGTATTCCTTAGGGCAAAAGAATAGGTCGCTTAATCCTTTATTAGTCATTCTGCACAAAACACAATGAAGACTGAGATACAGAAAAGAATGTGGGTTTCATTTTTTATGCAAAGACTATCTTAGATGTGGGGCCAGTTCCGAGGAGCAGCAGTAATATCCATCTCAAGAGAATCTGGATCCTACATGGCAACTGTGGTCCAAATCCTCATTGAGGTCTACCCAAAACACTCCAGGTATGCACATGAATGCCCAGGGTCCAACTGACTGGAAAGCTGGAAGAGGGATCATGGCATGGCCAGACCCTGTGGAGAGTGCTTCTGTCTCTCTTGTACATGCACATGCTACATGTACTCTCTCATGAATAAAGGAAAGAGTAAGAAAAAAATTTTAATATATTTTTTATTTCAATTTCTTTTATATATTCAATCACATATGTCACTTAGCTTGAAAGTGAATATTCCAACACGTATACACTTGTCACCAATCCAGCTGGGAATACTATACACATCATCCTCAACAGACAATAATAACCCATCTCTTTGTCCCACAGATACCTCACCCCTCTATCTGTCTCCCCAGTGTTCCTCCTCAGTCTCTCCTCATTCACCCACCCTCTTCCCACGCTGTATCTGGTATTTATAACCATTGTCTATGTTTCTATATCCTCTAGTCATTCAGTTTTGGCCATAGAGTGCAGACAGTCAGTATACATTAAGTGGAGACATACAATGTCTCTCCTTCATAGACTGACTTGCTTCACTCAGCAGTAAATCTTCCATATTCATCCACTTTCTGTCAAAAGCCAAGGTCACGTCTTAGTTAAATCTTTACCACAAGGTTAGGATTAATAGTTACATGGAGTTTCCTCAGGGACCAGCAGGTGGCATGGTGGTTGAGGTGCTAGACACTCCCACATGGCCGACCGCGGTTCGAGTACCAGACCTGGTGGCTTGCTTTCTTACTTTCCCTCTCTCTCTGTGTGTATCTCTCTCTGGTCAAATTGAGATAAATGAATGAATAAATAAAATTAAATAAATAATTATTTTTTTTAAAAATAGTTACGTGGAGCTTCCTCAATTCAATAAATGCTTGTAGTGCGTTAGCATTTATAGGTGGCTCAATAACTATTTGCTGACTCAGTGTCATTTATCTGATATTACAGGAAATACTGAAAAAAATGTAGGGCAGAATTCTTGCTCCACAACACTTTGGATCCAGCCAGGGGACAAGCTATAGATATCTGAGACACTGTAAAATCCACGAGCCTTGGATCAGATGCTGGAGGTCAAGCCCTAATGCTGTCATTTACTAGCTATATGTAAGTGGCTTGAGTGATCTAAGCCTCAGCTTTCTCTTCTGTAACATGGTGATATAACAGTGAATTCTGTATCGTGTGGTTGTCATGAGGATTATATTAACTAAGCCAATGAATGTAAAGTGCCTAGAACAATGCCTGGCACAAAATAAGTGACCAAAGTTAATGACCATTCATATAACACTGAGTAGTTGGTAGCACAACGATATGTCACTAGTTGTGCAAAATGAGTGGGAAAGATATCTAGTGGAAAATGAATGGGAAAGATATTGAAACAAAGTTTGCAACTGGAAGCAGGAAGAACCCAGCAGGACTAGAGTTAAAAATTGAACAACAGAATTCAGACTTTTTTTTTTTTCTCCTGTACTTGTTAAATAAGAATCTGACTAAAATCATGGAATTCTTACTAAAATAAGTAAAATGAAGTCAGCTATTTTCAGGCTGGTCTTAGTTTATGCGCTCCAAGTTCCAGTGATTTAAGATTCCCTAGTAAGTCTTCCTACTTTGCTTTTTGCTTTCCTTACTCACCTCTCTAACAGTTGCTGCCAATAAAAAGTGCACCAGGGAATACGAACGCCCACACTCTTCTTCTGATTTACCCCAGGGGAAACTGCTCTACTCCCGGTGTGCCCTTCCATGTGAAAAGAGACTCTTTATCGTAACACTTTGCTGCTCTCCAGGGCTCCCGTGCACATCGCAGAAGAGGGCGACTGCCTTACCCAACCTGTAAGTTTGGCAGGGATGCACTGAACATACTTACCTGAGCCAGGGCTATTTGACTGAGAGTTGAACTCTGTCTAGTTCTGGAGTTCCGTTAAGGACTCGTCTTGTGTGCATGCTAGGCCATGTCCTTCTACCTCATTGTTAACAGTAATAAAAGTACAATTTGGGGAGCCAGAGGGCAGCAGGGCAGCAAGGAGACCTATTTGGAAAAGTCCCCAGTTCATGTCCTGGGGCCTGTCTGAACACCAAGCTCAAAGGAGTATCCATGACCCGGGCTCAGTGAGGTTCGGGGGGGACCCCCACTGGGAGTACCTGTCTCTCTCTCTCTTCTTGATGAAATAAATAAACTTTTTAAAGTTTAGTTCTGATCTGCCATCTGCCTTTCTTTTTATCTTATTTTTCAGTTTCTTTAGAACCCAAGTGAGGAAAATGGTAGTATTACTGGACTCCGTGAAAAATTCCAATAAGTTATTAAAAAACACTTAAAAAATTTATTGTGTAGAATACTAATAATGAATGAAACACAGTTCCTGCCACCAAGTAAAAAGGTGATCTGTCACAAAAACCAATTTTCAAGAATGTATTATTAGTTCACAAAAATAGCACCCATTAATTACATCTTCCCAGGCAGAGAATTCAATGTTTGGAATTACAACAGGCATCTCTACCACATATTGTAAGCTTAAAACGCTACTTGTCATGATAAACATCTCCTTTGGTGACTAGTACTACCAGAGGTATGGTCGCAGTCACCTTCAATTAACAGAGAGCACTTCTCTGGTTTCCAGGCACGTCCAGAGACCCCAGAGCATGCCAGGCACCTGTGTGCCGGTGATCTGGGGCTGGCTGAAGCGAGAGGTGAATGACAGGGTTAAGACCTCATTGAGAGGCTTCATCTCTGTCTGTCTGTCTCTCTCTCTCTCATTGAATACACTTTAAAAAATTGAGAAGATGGTTATAAGAAGCAAATACTAATTTTAAAAAACACATATCAAAAGCACATGTCCACAGAACTTCACCTGAGTCTTTCATTTAGAAATGGTTGTGATAAACTGAGTTATTTCATTTCTAGTTAACAATAGATTACAGAAAGAAGGTTAGAAATCAGAGTGTTAGAAGCTGGAGAACACTAAAGATATTGTTAGCAGGAAAAAAAAAAAAAAAGCAGACATAAAGATGTTGTAACAGGGGCCAGCAGGTGGCATGGTGGTTAAGGCACTAGATTCCCACATAGCCCACCACAGTTCAAGTCTAGGACCAGGAGGTTTGAAAATCACACTGGGCATGTGTGCACGCATGCCCAAAATTCTGAGAGGATAGAGGAGAAAGGTTTGCAGCATGGCCATTCCCTCTAGGAGGTTATTTCTCACTTTCCCGCTCTCTGTCTTTCTGTCTCTCTGTCTCTGTCTCTCTCTCTCTCTCTCTGGTGAGCAGATGATACACCTTATGGCAAAAAAAAAAAAAAAGTCTTAAAAAAAACGCTGTTATACTCTACACTCTATAAGGGCAAGAACTATACACTGTCCCCCATGCCTAGCTCGGTGCTGGCACATGGTAGAACCTAACAAATAATTGATGAACAATAAAATCTTGAATAAACTTCAAAAGCTAACATTCTGTATCTATATATTTTGTAATGGCAAATATTGGGTTGTCAGAAAAGCCATGACATATTTTTCTACATTTTTCTATGCAAAAAATACATCATGACTTTTCCAACAACCCAATAGCTCTATATTCCTCAACAGACCCCATGGGCAAATCTAGAAAAACAAGTATACTGATTTCCTTAATAAAGATACCAATTATGCAAAACATATATATGCAAGTGTATGTTTAGAATGATCAGTCTGTGAAGATAGTAAAAAAATATATATCTAAAATGGCAATAATAAAAAGAATGTTCGTAAACTTCAGTTACCTGAACTAGAAACAAATGTTATTCCCCATCTACACTGGATGAATGAATTAATAGAAAATGTTTAGTGGTAAAAATAAGTAAATAAAAACCCCTACCTATTCATCATTAATCCCAGGTAAGACTGTAAATAGTATCAACTTACTAGAAATGCTGAATAAATAGTAATGATAAATAATAATACAACGGGCATACATAACAATACTGACTTTATTACTTATAAGTAAAAATAGCTAAACAAAACAATATTTCAAAATAGGGAGAACAACTCACACACTCAGTTCACTATAAACAGCATTCTGAAGTTTCTTCTCCCAACCTGTTTAATAAAACAAAAGAACAAATTATATGAATATATTAGTTTTTAAATAAACATACATCATAATTTAATTTACCTCTACTAAAACTTTGGTATTGTACTCATTTATGAAAGATCTTTGTCAACTGCCAATTAGTGGGTAAAGTATTATTATATTTAGGTATTTCCTATATACTTGCCATATTCCTTGACTAACACTGAGAAGTAAAGTCATCAACACAGTATTATTGTTTAAATAAAATTATTTTACCGTCTTCTGAAAATAAGCACCTTTTGTTCTTCCACTATCAAGGTACTCACTGAATGTGAAATCTTCAGGTATTGTATTTCTTTTTTTTTTAAAGAATTATTTATTTATTATTATTATTGTTAATATTATTTTTCACATGAGTTTTGCCAGAGAAAGACAGAGAGACAGAGAGAGAGAGAGGAAGAGTGAGAAAGCAAGTCGCCAGATCTGGGACTCGAATCATGGCCGGCCCTGTGGGAATTCCAGCATCTTAACCACCATGCCACCTGCTGGCCCCAGGTATTGGACTTCTAATGCTATGAACAATGTGTCAAAGGAGAGGTGAGACTCAGTCAGGCACAAAAACAGACTGAAATGAATGAGTGACAATGAACTAATTGTTCAGTAAACTCCTGGACAACAGAGGTAGCCTCTTAGGAGTTTCCAGCAGTCAGACCTTAACTACTTGAATTTATCTGGCCAAAGTAATCACCCTCTCAGTTCTCATGTCAGAGGCTGGAAGAGGGAAGCTCTCTTCTCGCTCTACAAAAGATTAGTATGTTCTTTCTGTCTCTTTTGAAAGCATAGGAAAGAGGTAGGAAAAACTGTAGAAGGAAAAGAGTCACAACTGAAGTATAAAAAGATAAGCTATTTAACTAAGGAGATAATTCATTCAGAAAGTATTTTCACCATTAGCGTAAACGGTATTTAAAACTGACTACCACAAAGCAGTTGTTATCATGGTGTTCCTGAATTTTTGTAGCAGTTTATTGAAATGGCTGATGGTTCTTACTCTTCCCCAATAGAAATCTACTCAGCCATAGTTTCACAATTATGAATGAGTAATTGGAGGGAGGGCTGGTAATAAAACAATTCTTACCTTGCCTTAAAAATTTAAGGAAAAAAGTTACAAACCTGATATTTTAAAGAACTCCTTAATATCTTCTTTCAGCGACTCAAGTTTAATCTCAGGTCTCTGAAGACTGGTCTAATTTTAGAAAAAGAAAAGAAAAAGAAAAAAGGAAAAGGCAAAAGTCAAAAGTTAATCATTTGGGGTAATATTTATTGTTCATTAAACTTTTTTATTAAAAAAAGTATAATCATATATGCATGTTATTTAAGGTTACAGCACCTTGGAAATAGCTGAAATTCCTCATAAAAGAGAAGACTTTCTCACTTACTCTTAAACACAAGATCTGTGATCTTCTACTGGATTGGATTTGACTGAAATCAATCAAAAATATAAAACCTTGGGACCAGCAGTTAGTGTAGTGGCTATGTCGCTGGACTCCCATGCAGTCGACCGCGGGTCAAGTCCTGGACGCATTAAACTCACACCGGGTGCGTGTGCGTGTGTGCCCAAGATCCCAAGAGGAGAATGGAGGAGAAGGGACTGTGGCGTGGCCATCCCCCCGGGCGGTGATTTCTCGCTTTCTGTCTCTCTGTCTCTCTCTGTCTGGTGAGCGCACGCGCCCTATAGCAAAAACCTCTCCAAAAAAAGAAGAAAAAAATATATAAAACCTTGTAGTTTATAAATATTTAACATCTTGATCTAGGGTCTCAAGTAGAAAGAATACTCAGATTTTATAACTTCAATCTCTTAATAATATCTAGCTATTCGAGGAGTCTTCAGCAAATTCATGGAAATGCATATTATATGAAAAATATGCATGAATTTCAAAATGTGTTGTACCAAAATAAACTCACACTATAATTCCATGTTTCCATGAACATTTTGAAGTCCCCTCATGTGGAACCTGCATTTAATGACCCAAACACCAGCTGCATCCACATAAATGGATCTCTCTATGGTGTTTTTCTCTCTGGAGTGCTGTTCAAAGGAAAGATGAATTTGGATTGACTACTTATGAAAAATACATAAAACTGCTAGTTCATAATGCTGTTAGTGTCTCTGATCTGAAAGTGCATGCTTCTTATTCAAATGTTTTTTTCATATTGCATTTCTTCTTTTTTTTTTTTTTTGAGAGAATGAGATTTTTGCTATTTTTTTGGCTGCCAGAGAGACAGAAAGCAAGAAGTCACCCCTAGGGAAGATGGCCACCACAATCCATTCTCCTCCATTCTCCTCTCGGGTTCTTGGATATGCATGCACACACATGCACACACTCCCAGTGTGAGTTTTAAGTTGCTGGGTCCGAGATTCGAACCACAGTCGACCACATGGGAGTCTAGTGATGTAACTGTTATGTCATCTACTGGTCCCTCACATTGCATTTTATACTCAAAATAATAATCTTCCCTATTTGTAATGACTTCGCTTACTCTCAAAGGGCTAATGTTTTATCACCTAGCTCTCTATCAAATTCTAAAAGCACAGGACTGGCGCTATGGCCTAGAGATTAAAGGAGCCAGATTCCACATGGCCAACCATGGTTTGACTCTCAGTCCTAGCAACTTGAGAAACACACCAGGAGTGTGTGTGTGTGTGTGTGTGTACCCAAAACCCTAGTAGAACGGAGAAAAAGTGACTGTGGAGTGATCATGCCTAACTGGGGGGTTGCTTTTTCTCACTTCCTCTCTGTCTCTCTCTGGCAAGTGCATGTGCCCTCTGGCAATTAAAACAAAAATTCTAGAAGTATATTTCTTGGAAGGCATTTCTATTAGGATATGCCATAAATATATAAAACCTAAGAAACAAAAATCTGATATTCCATTTAGTACTTTGTTTCTTTTGTTGCATTTTAAAATATTTATCAATGAAACTACCTCCTACAAGCCCAAAATAAAAGCAGCTGAGGACAGGGGGCAGCAGGTGGCATGGCGGTTAAAGGCGCTGGACTCTCATATGGCTGACTGCAGTTCGAGTCTTGGACCTGGGGGCTTGCTTTCTCACTTTCCCTCCCCCCCTTTCTCTCACTCTGTCCCTCTCTTGTCAAATTTAAAGAAACAAAGTTAATAAACAAGCAGATGAGGACAAACCAACAGTCACAGACTTGTATGACATTGGCATCCATACATGAAAAAGTAGAGGACCGCAATGGGATACCCAACGTATGTGAAAACAAGAAAACCCCCAAAGAGCCAAGAAATAGACACTGAAACTCACAAATCCATTTTAGAATGGGGGCTAAACGGGAAAGGTAGTTCCTAGTCCAACACAGAGCAGATGAGATACGAAGAGACTCAAGCTGTCTAGCACTTAGACATTCTTCACACTGACTAATCAGGGCTCCTTTCTAGAAATGTCACTGCTCCAAGGAGAACATGCCGAAAGAACAGTCAAAATTGAGGATGAAAAACAAACAAACAAACAAAAAAATTGAGGATGATACAGGAACTAACTCATTCCCTTGAAAAGTGGTAAGTAAAGAAAAAGGCATCTATCTTGCCTTTCCAATAGGAACTGTACCACTGGGTAATGAAGAGTAAATGAGGAGAAAATCTTTATAAAAGTATCCAGGGCCAGCTGGTAGCATGGTGACTGAGGTGGCTGGATCCCACATGGCCAACTATGTGGTTCAAGTCCCAGACCTGGCAGCTTGAAAGAGAAGCTAACTGTATGTGTGTGCATGCCCAAAATCTCAAGAGAAGAAGGGATAACAGCATGGTCATTTCCTCTGAAGGGTGATTTCTCACCACCTCCCACATCGCTCTCTGGCAAGTGTATGCATTGTATAACAAAGACAAAACAAACAAACAAAAAGTATCCTAACTAATAACTGAAATAAATATGACATAATTAAAATATCACAATTTTGTAGCCCCGGTTCTAGGCTTTGAGCAGAAATAGCTATTTACATAGCAAGACAGACAACCAGATGTTATGTGCTTCCCAGTGAAAAAACCCTCTACTGTCTATTCCATAGACTCTACTGTCTATGACAGGGAGGAGACTGAGTTTGATGAAGCCTTGCATCTGGCTGTCAAGTTATAAGACATACAAAGGACAGAGGAGCATGCTGAACTGCACCATGAGTCTGCAATCAGAAAAATTCAGACTGTGGGAAGACTGGTCAAATGGCCCATTACTTCTGCTGATATAATTTAAGAGAAAAAAAAAACAGGAAGGAGAGAAAATTGTAGATTAAAAAATGACTTAAAAGACATATGATTTTTTTTTTAAGTTGGGAAGACTGTGCTATAGGTAAGGATATATATTTCATTAATATAACTATCAAAAATACAGAAAAGTTGGTTAAGCCCTTATAGCATGGTAGTTAAGTTCTATGCAGAAGAAGCCATACCCCACATGACTGACCAGGGTTCAAATCACAGTCCCAGGCCAGCAGCTTGAAAAGCATGCTGGCATACATGGGCCTAGGATCCTGACAGGTTGGAGAACTGCAGAAAAAAGGAATGCAGTATGACCAGGTCATGTGCCCTCTGGCATTAAAAAAAGAAGTAAAAGAAA